TATTAAATTCATTCATAAATATGAAAGTTCGTCCTTAGATGAAATTTAATGCATGCCATCGAATCCCAATTGCAGGGATCGATGCTCATGATGTCAATCACTGGATTATTTGGTCCAGACTCGTCTTATAGCTGGAATATTGCTGAGTTCGGCGTTAAACAACAAACAAACAAACAAACAACACGTACTAAGTGATCATGAATATTTAGGGGGGCATTGTTTCGTGAAGACTGACCACACAATTTCATAAAAATATCCCCCAAAATATTCATGATCCCTAGCTGTTTTGTTCAGTACATAATAACTGAAATAAGTTAAATTTTACATTATTAACAATAAACAATTTAATGCGCTCAAAAAAAGAAAGAAATAGCAATGATCTGTGGATAATTTTGACTAGATGTTGTTTTGACTAGATGGGTATGTTGCTGACAAACCTAGAAACATAATCGGGGCGAACCGGGATTCGAACCCAAAATAATAGGTTTCTGGCGTGCCGAAGGGACGCAACTCTGCACAGCGAATTGCGGCGCCTTAGACGACTGGGCCACCCGTGGCCCCCTCGTGTTCAAGAACACAACATCTCAAGTTGCCTTAAAGTTTGTTGGTGATGTCATTTATTCATTGTATACTTGCAAAATGTGAAATGAATAAAGTATGTGCAAAAAAACAACTAATCGAATCTCATTATCAGTTGAATGTTGAATGAACCTGTCTTTGTATGTGTGCGCCTGCGTGCGTGTGCGTGTGCGTGTGCGTGTGCGTGTGCGTGAATGTACCTGAATATAAAACCATCTTACATTCGTTTAATGTATCCATACAGTATGACGAAGCACAAATATATATCGCTGTAGAAACATTCCCATCCACCGCCACATCAGATCGATAAACGAGCCCAAGATCAAACATTAATATTGTCCATCTAATTCCATTTCAAAACACCGAGTGTGGCTCGTAAATTAAACAAAATAGTTGTATGACAAAATACATACCAGTCTGGCGATTGCAAACACTTTGAAATACACCAGTTGAGTTTGAAATTGATTAGAACTCAATTTCCTTCCATTTCACGTCAACTTGTATTCAAATACGCTCTTTGTCTGTTTCTGTATCTTGTCAATAGACAAAGTGCTTGAAATGGACGCCCCGTCTTTCTACCCTGGAAGACGAGAGCACTGCATAGCCTTCCTTCAGGCTAAATCGGATAAGTAGGAACCTAGAAATGGGGGATGCATCATCTTTTTATGAAGACTGGCAATTTTTATCTCTTTGAAGAAATAATCGAACGGTTTAGAAACGCTAGTCTGGATATGTTAGTGATAGGCAGTGAGCATATTCCCACACGTTATAATCACTTATGATTAGGATTTTGTTTGTTTGTTTATTTGTTTGTTTGTTTAACCCCACACTCAGCAATATTCTAACTATTTGACGGCGCTTGACCAAACAATCCAGTGATTCACATCATGAGCATCGATCTACGCAATCGGGATACGATGACATATATCAATCAAGTCAGCGAGTCTGACCACCCGATCCCGTTAGTCGCTTATTCTAACCCGGATCGTCACAGGTGATAAATTAATAATATATTCTTGACAACGGTATAAGGATCTATACCGAAACGTCGCCTTTACAGTATGAAAGAAGTTGTTATCCATAAATTGTGTCTACTTTGTTCACATGTGATAATTATTCAGAACGGTTGGTCCTGCGTGTCCTTCGAGCGGTGTCAGATTATTAAGACGTTTAGAACATTCTGGTAAAGCTGCGTCAACCTTGCTTGATGGCTGCAACCATAAGGTTGTGAACTTCGCTGCATAGACTTCGACGTGACTGTCCTCAGTGCTGCTACTCCGTGGGATCATAACCGGCTCCCGTTACCATGGTTTCCTCATAATTGCAGTAGAAGCCGACTAAATGGGGATCGGGTGACCGCAGTGTGGGACCGATGGCTTGGCGTTGCTGAGCCTGGTTTTACTTGTGCAAAATTGATTATTTGCAAGCTGTCGTGATATAGATGGAATACTGCCGCGTGGGGCAACATTCAATCACTCACACGTGGCTGGTATGATACAAAGATACAAAGAAACCCCACAAAACGCCCAACCATAATGAAATCCTCTCCAGTATGATGGCCGAGACATCGTTTTCTCGCGGTAAAGCAATATCCCCTCTTGACCACTGTAGGGGGCGCATGTGGTATATGTTTCATTTGAGAGGGAATGTTGAAATTTTCTCACTATTTACTAAAACATAATTTAACTGTACAGACGTAGGTGATTTTAATACAATCCACGTATTTCTGCGTAAAATGTAGTTGACTGATGTATGGCCCTATTAAGGTATTTTATGTGAGCATCACGTCATCAGCGCGTGGCGGGTCATTGCAATAAGCTCTAAATAAATCAGGTTAAATTCTAAATATATACTTTTCGAAAGAAGTCAAGAAGACTATGGGAAGTCAGTCATATCTGATTGTATTACAAAATACAAACTTATAAATGGGGGTGTTTTTTAACTTGTTTTGAGTAGCATATGATGTTACATCGTGTAATACTGTTGTCCGTAAATATTCCTTTTGACATTTTATTTATGATCAACTTGTATTGTGTCACTTGTCTTAGGCAAATCAAATATATGTACTTGCATGAAGTAATTTGATCAACACCGCTGTGAGTGAGTGAGTATGGTTTTACGTCGCTTTTAACAATATTCCAGCAATATCACGACGGGGAACACCAGACATGGGCTTCACACATTGTACCCATGTTGAACTCGAACCTGGGTCTTCAGCGTGACGCTTTAACCACTAGGTTACCTCACCGCTCCCATCGCTGTGACAATGGCGTTATCACAGTTGATATGTGTACTTGGGTAAACTACACACATGGAGTGACATCCTAATTAGTGTGGCCACACAGTTAATGTTGATAACAGTATTAAGTGTATTACTATGATTATCTATATCATATGTTAAATCAGCTATCATTCTAATATTTTATTTATAATTCAAGTATATTTTTGTCAAAATGTATATTTGTGGGTGGGTGGGCTGTGTTGTCTTTCTCTCTCTCTCTCTCTCTCTCTCTGTCAAGCTGTGGGTGTCTGGGTGCGTTTGCGTGTGCGTGCGCCTGACTCACTGTATGTGTATACATGTAGTAAATAATCACATAACTCACACCATACAGTTTAATAGAGAATGGTTACTTAAATATGAATATTCCTGCTTGAACAAAGAGCCTATACAAAAATCGGATATCTAGATGTATTTTACTCTTTATTCTACATGTATTTTACATGTTCGTTAGTATTAAACTTATTTCCCGAAGACAGTTTGATCGAAAGGAATTATAAGAAACGAGTTGTTTTTAAATATTTACAGCGCATTTACTTTTCTATTTCAAAGGAATGTGGTTACGGGTAAATGACGCTCTCAAAAGTTGTATATGTGACTGAAGGTAGAGACATATCTAATCGATTTTTTGGGAAACATAACAGTGTACATGTATAACTTGTGTTTGCATAAAGTACATGCATCTTTATCAATATAATTGTCATCCCTAAATCGGACGAGCATGTATTCGGCTTCAACTCGAAATTTGTCGGCCAACAAAATAATTCTTTCGATAATGCAAAAAAGACAAACCGTGGCTGATAATACTAACAATTATTTGTCAATTTATGATCTATATGTAAATCATTATTTGTTCCAGTTAATGTATCCTTTATAGTTTTAAGATTGAAGGAAGAATGTGGGAGTATTAGGAATAAAATGAAAATATGAATAGCGATTTTTCTGTGAATCTTGCTAATTTACTACACAAGAGACCCGTGAAGATCCGGAGTAGAATAGGTCTTCAGCAACCCATGATTACCGTAAAAGGCGACTATGCTTGTCGTAAGAGGTGACTAACGGGATCGGGTGGTTAGGCTCGCTGACTTGGTTGATGCATGTCATCGTATCCCAATTGCGTGGATCGATGCTCATGATGACAATCACTGGATTGTCTGGTCCAGACTCGATTATTTACAGACATATAGCTGGAATATTGCTTAGTGCGGCCTGAAACAAGAAACAAACTACACAAGAAAATAAACACATGCGTATTTACAAACTAAACGAGACAGCATTCTGTATTTATATCTAACATATTTTTTCTACTACAAAATGTTGAAAAAATCCAGGTATTAGAGGCAAAATACCGGTAAGAATTATAAGAATGAATCACTGAATATCAGCAAAAAACGTTTAATGTACGGCATTATGGGAAATATCGCTTTCTCGCTCAATCACTTTCTCTCATGACTAACCATAGTTATATGAAAGAATTGGGTGTTCTTTAAATTCTTTTGAATAGTATGTACTGTAAATCTTGAAATTAACGGTAGAGTTAATTAAATGAAAAATAAATGCGAGTGGACTTAATTAAACTTTGCATTTATGTCTCAGAAATGACTTGATAAAACGGCCTCAATGCACACTTTGAAAAGCGGAAATACCAACTTGAATATAAAAACAAACAACTCTCTATTTCCACAATACGATTTATTGAGAACAATATGTCATTCAAACACTAGAAATTACATAATGGACATTTGGTGAGTTACCATTTCTTCGCTGAGGACTCCGCATACAGAAGAAACACTGATATAACCTTAGTGTTGTTATTAGGAAAATAGTATTGTTTAAGGGAGTACACAACTCAACACTAATAAAGTATTTTATCAAGATCACGTGGACCAATCAGATCTCATCATTCTGACACGGAGGTATGATAAGGGGCGTTATTTGCCGTTTAATATTAAGCGTATCTAAAAACTAATTAATCTACCAATCCAAAATCCAATAAACATACAAACACCCACCTCACCCGGCTCCCTTAGTTCCCTCCCCTACCCACCTCGGCATTTATTCCAAATTTAAAAATTCCAAAAATTCAATATAATTAAGCAACCCCTAAAAGCCCCCTCTTGGGTTGCACACACCACTTTCACCCTTTTCGGAATACACTAAATGGTCTGGCCAGGCCCGTGTGCGAAATACGCTACAGTCGGAAAGCGCACGTTAAATCTTCTATATCAGTCAGTCAGTCAGTCAGCCGTTCATTTTGATTGACTGGAAAAATCTCAGCTCTCTTTTATGATTAAAACCCACCTCAGGTTCCCCCAAACATATATAGAAAACAACAGCGATGAAAAAAGAGCAATGACGAATATGACAAATGGCGTTTTCGTAAATCCTTTCAACTCCTGGCATAATCGTCTCGATAACAACCATTCACGAAAATGTGACATTCCACATGAGTTCCATGAAACAAAAAACTGAGGCCATGTATTCCGAAGATTTCGTAAACCAAGCATAAAGCATGTTCGGCCTGGCGTCGTCGTTGTTTCTACAAGCTTTGCGTCGTCATTGTTTCTACAAGCTTTAGCAATTAGTTCACAGAGTAAGCAACGCCTGGCGGTTTCCCTCGTGATTCTAGCTCGCTGACGTAGTCAAAAGGATTCACGACCTGCGAAAAGAAATTACCGAAAAATCACAGTTGTATACATGTATTAACATTACTGGCATTGTGAAAATATCTGAAGTCGAAATATCGAAATCGAAATTTTATAAATAATCCATGATCAAAAGAGTGAAGTGTCAGAAGTGTAACCTTACTATATATGCCAGCATGTAGTTAAGCGTTCGCTCGTCACACTGATGACCCCGATTCGATTCCTCACATTGGTAAAAACAATGAAGCCCATTCCCGGAGTCCAACGCCGTGATATTGCTGGACATATTGCTAAAAGCGGCGTAAAATCACTCAATTTCGGGTCACCTACCAGATTATCCAGAAAGGTGAAACTATCTTTGAATCTCGAAGTTGCCAAGAAGGTAGCCAGTTCGCTGTCTATTTGTCTTGTTTCGCAGGTCTGAAGAAAAATGGAACAAATCTTTAGCGAAGAAAATATCAAAACTAACAATTATTATTTGCAAAACAATTATATCTCTGATTCGAACTTATTATTCCATGAAAAGGTTGATTGAAAGATATGTGGCAGCAAGGCAACAAAAGTTGTCTCCCTTGGGTTAAAATATTTTTTTCACCATAGCGTGTTTGTCGTGTGTTTGCCGGAGACGGGTTTCTATCCTTGATTCAACTCGTAGCTGTGACTGTTCTATTTGTTTAGTCTTTTACCAGTCTACGCCTGTTAATAAATCTCCATTATTGCAACAGAATTCTAATTCTTTATAAAAGGCTGCTACTATCTCTTGAGGAAATAAAACCGTTCCATTAAACTGTGATGGTACCCTTGGCTTTCATGACTTAGGATTAGATCTCATTAATAACTATTTCATTTTTCTCATCACGAATCAACCCAAATAATTGTCTAGACCCTAATGTTTTATAAAAGAATATCCAAGCTGAATTCGGCTCCAGGTATGAATTTTTACAACTTTATTCCACTTTTTGACAATATGCACTTTTTGATCTAACGATCATCAGTAATATAGGCCATATACACATTCTCTCTACATCTACTCAACTAGATATATATTTGTATATTAACCAAAAAGGAAAACCACACACAAGGAGCAGAAAAAACACATCAGTTTGCCATTATATAAAAAATAAAATACCTCTACACTTACATATGTGTGGGTCATCGGATCATTTACATTTTCAAGATGACCTTGACATTCAGCTTCTACAAATCTACTCTTTTCCGACGATGCAGATAAAACATTTAATACCACAGTACGGACATGATGTGAAATCTGACATGCTCTATGTGACTGCGAAGAGTTATTTCCCCTGAAGTTACAACGTCGGACGGTACACAAAGGACTGCACTTACCCTGAACACATTCCTGACATCCAGCTTGAATTCCTTCTCATAGCCCTTGATGTCCCCCTTGTACACCACCGTGGACGGCCCCTTCCTCTCCGCTGGCAGCTTGAACATTCGGTACGTGACCGACACGAACCGAGCGTCACCTGAACAGAACATCCATTCGTTAAGAGCTGTTTCCCTGCAGGTTTCAGTGCATCGCGATTTTTTTCCATGATAATAGTGAGTGAGTGAGTGAGTGAGTTGGGTTTAACGCCGCTTTTAACAGTATTCCAGTTATATCGCGTCGTGTCAGCTTAATATGGGAGGAAAGCCAGAAGTGATTCAGGTCTCAGACGTTTACCACTTCGGTGAAACCCACGAGCACGGCTATGGTGCTGACAAACCTAGAAACATAATCGGGGCGAACCGGGATTCGAACCCACAATCATAGGTTTCTGGCGTTCCCAAGGGATGCAACTCTGCACAGCGATAACGGCGCCTTAGACGACTGGGCCACCCGTTCCCCCTCCATTATAATAATCGTATCCAGAGGTCATATATCGAGACAGAGCGACTCATGTTTAAAGAAACATGTTTGTTTATGTTAGGAAAGTATTTTTTCTGTCGGTATGTGAATAAGTTCTTAAGATATTGCTAGTTAAAGTTATTTAAGCTGTCGTGGGTTACTGGTATTTCGGGTTAGAATCATCTTTCCCAGGCAAGGGCGTTAAGTGACTGTAAAAATCCAGTTTTCACCCTTGCCGAACTAGGCTGTAATTTCTGGGCTCGGTCGTAGCGCTACCAGTGATATTTCGAGTTATGTCCCTTCTATGTCCTTCCTATAGACCAATCAGATTCCCTCTCTCATATCACATGCATTTGCTCCAAACAAAATGGCGGGGCCCAGTCAAGACGATCTGATCGATAATCAATATTGTAATAAATCGGATCCTAACCCACGAAGTGCATCAAACCACTTGATCACCTTGATTAAAACATGAAAAGATTTGCTACATATCTGTCGACGCACAGTTGACGGTACGCGCTTTGCAAATCCTGCAGTCGACCGAAATTTGCAGGATGAAATCCGTTTTGTTTAAGAACCGGATGTCCAGTTCGATACGCGATTTATATTGGACTATGCATAGACTCGTTTTTCCAGCCAAAATTCAACTCCGGAATTCCAGCCTAGTTCGGCTTGGGTGAAAACTGGACCTTTATAGTCAGTTAACTCCCACTAGACCACCACTATATCAACCACTAGACCACCCCACGGTGCTCGAGGTTGTAGCACATGTATTAGACGTGACTATTCTCCGTAGCTCACCCACGAGTGTCTTGTATTCCTCGTTGTTAATGGCTACAGTCGATATCTCCACGATACGTGGGGCACAGAAACCGACTTCTTGGGCGATATCGTGCAGCCTCTTCCAGTACAGAGACCCGGCGATACACATGCCTGAAGTATAGCGAGAATAATGTTTCACATTTAGCAGCAATTAGGGATTACAAATTATATATTTATCACGAAGTGATTTCGAAGATCGCACATATATTTTTTAAACTGAAACGAGAAAAACGACTTTTCAAGACAATAAATCTACGTTTTAATTTCTTTCTAAAGATATTGTTAAAGTATCGTCATAAATCTGATTCACTCACAATATATTGCCGATACTCACATAACCATTTAAAATAAAATATTTTTGAGCAAATTACAATCATAGACTTACAGAGTATCTGTGTTCAAACATATGACACGACGATCTAATGAAAGGGAGACAACTCTACGGGAAATGTTTTCGTTTCGTAAAATCACAAACGCGATGCTACGAATGATCGCCTTTGCTTTCTTATAGCCTAACCAGGTGAGTGAGTGAAATGCCTTACTCCACAGGTACTCATTCTTCCTGACCTCCTCAGGCAGGTCCTTGTTGCAATACACATCACTGAAGTACAGCTCTCCGCCGTCCTGGAAAGCAAGTAAGGGCATCGTTAAATTGTTTGTTTGTTGTTTAACGCCGCACTCAGCAATATTCCAGCTATATGACGGCAGTCTATAAATAATCGAGTCTGGACCAGACAATCCAGTGATTGACATTATGAGCATCGATCCACGACATTGGGATCATGACATGCATCAACCAAGTCAGCGAGCCTGACCACCTGATCCCGTTAGTCGACTCTTACGACAAGCATAGTCGCCTTGTTAGGCAAGCATGGGTTGCTGAAGACCGATTCTACCCCTGATTTTCACGGGTCGAGTTTCATTAAAAGCCGCTTTGAACACTCCTGGCACGGCGGGTAGTGATGTAGATCGCAAACGTTTCCCACTTTGGTAAACTCACGAGAACGGCATACGATGCTAAAAACCAAGGATCAAGTCTGTAATTCGAACCCACGATTAGCGGATCCTGGTACGCCGCAAGGACGCATCTCCGCTCACTGAATAACTTCGCTTTATACAGAGGCAGGGACCGTGGAGATGTTGCAATTATTCCAACTGCCTCCGTATAGTGGATAGAGTCTGCCCGGAGAGTGGTCGGTGGTTCGCTCCGGGGCCGCGTCATACGCACAAATATGCTTGCATATAAGTTCAATAACCTTCAACGCGACTGGGAACCCATGTGATCTCACCACCAAATTTCCGTTACAAGTTAAATAGTATACGATAATTTAATTTGGCATACCACTCCTCGGAATTCCTGAGATACTTAGATACTATGCTGACGTTTAAAATGGATATTCAGACTGATGATACAGCTGGCCAGTCCTTGCTTTATCCCTTTAATGCCGAGCGCCAGGCAGGGAGACAACAAGTACCATCATTTAACGTCTTTAGTTATGACGCGGACAAGGGATTGAACCACCGACCTTCGCTCTCCGGGCAGATTCAGCACTGTGAATGAGGTGGGTGTAATGCCGCTTTGGCGAGTCTTTCATTTACTTTATTGCGAGTCAGTGGTGGAAAAATCGAGACATGTACATCGGGGAAACCCACGAACTTGATTTGAACTAAGGATAATAATAATGGGCTCGAACCCACGATGTGCGGCATATGGCAGGATTTCAGAGGTGCCACTCTACAGAGCATTGCTGGACCACCCGTTCCCTGCAAGGCTAAGGAAAGTGAACTTGCTATGACCAGAGTGAGTGAGAGAGAGATTTTACGCCGCTTTTAGCAATATTCCCGCAATATCACGTCATGGAACACTAAAAATAGGCTTCACACAATATACCCATGTGGAGAATCGGACCCGGGTCTTCGTGATAAGCGACTAGACTACCCAACCGCCCCGCTATGAAAAGAGTATAATGATAACTCACCTTCAGCACCCGATATGCTTCTTGGAGTACCGCCTTCTTGTCCGAGGTTAGGTTGATCACGCCGTTTGACCTTCAGAGAAGTAGAGAGTGAGTGAGCGAGTGTTGTTAATTTATTAACGCCGCACTCAGCAATATTCCAGCTATATGACGGCGTTCTGTAAATAATCGAGTCTGGACCAGACAAGACAGTAATTGACATCATGAGCTTCGATTTACGCAATTGGGATACGATGACATGCATCAGCCAAGTCACCGAGTGAGTGAGTGAGTGAGTTTGGGTTTACTCTGCTTTTAACATTATTTCAGGTACTACTACATCATGGCGTGTCAGCTTCATGTGGAGAGAAGCACTAAGTGATGCGGGTCTCAGACGTTTATCACTTTGGTGAAACTCACGAGCACGGGTATGGTGCTGGCACTCCTAGAAACATCATCGGGTCGAACCGGGATTCGAACCCACGATCATAGGCATCTGCCACAACTAAGGGACGCAACTCTGCACAGCGAATTGCCGCGCCTTTGACAAATGGGCAACACACTCTCCTACAGAGAAGTGGACACAAGGAGTCACTATGCGTGGTTTTCACGAAGGAGTGAGTGAGTATGGGTTTACGCCGCTTTCAGGAATATTCCAGCAACATCACGGCGGGGGACACCAGAAATAGGCTCCACACATTGTACCCATGTGGGGAACCGAACCCGAGTATTCGGCGTGACGAGCGAACGCCTTAACAACAAGGCTAACCCCCCACCCCCATTCACGAAGGATGTTCGAGTTGATGTGATGGCAACGAGAGGTTTATCTTGCACAGTATATTGTATACTTTCTTTACCTGAACAGAATTAATGCATGTATCTACTGATTATAAATGATTGAATATACTGAATTTTGCTAAAATATAGTTAAAACATTATGTATTAAATAATGCAACTGTATTTTTAAAAATTGTTAATCAAATCTTTGGGATATGCAAGACTATGATGAAGACATATGTCTTCAGTGATCAAAATATATACATGTACTGTATTTGAATTTCCCTTAAGCCCTTGGACCAAATTTCAACATAACGCAAAGTTAAATTCTTCCTGAAATTAAATAACTTGTGACATATATGTAAGGAACATACGGTGAGTGAGGTTAATGCCGCCTTGAACAGTTTTTTTAATGACGTCACGGCGTGTCAGTTTGATGTGGGAGGAACGCCTAGATTGGCACAAGCCGTAGATAAGGCAGGCCCAAAATAAACATGCATTGTATAAATTCAATACGAGAAGAGGGTTAGTTATAGCACTTGGTTAGCATTTCTGTCGTATGACGGCTTGTTAGCTTAACGTGAGAGATAAGCCTGATGAGATGCAGACACCTCACAGAAACACTCGACCGCGGCACGTGTTTGCTGCTGACAGATCAAGGAGCATAAATTAAGTTTAACGCCTCTTTCAGCAGTTTTTCAGTTATAATCACGGCGACCCAATCTGTTGTGGGAGATAAGGTTCAGTGATGCAGGTCATAGACGTTTGAAACTGACGAGTTGTATGGCGTCATAATCAAGGTTAATTTTCGGGTTTCGAACACACGATCCTCGGATTCTGGCGGAACTAAGGGAAGAAACTCTGTGATGCCCATGATAATGTGAATCCAGCCCGTTTCCAGAAACATGTATCAATGGATTAGACGGAAGGGTTATAACGTATGAGGCATCTCACATGTAGAGGGTTATTGTGTATACATCATGGCAACCAGTTGTAAAACCGATCCTCAAACAACCTCAAAACAATTATATACACATTTACAAAGGAATATTGTTAAAATAATTATCTGTGGAGGATGAAGGCACGTAAATCTGTGTTAAAATTTGTGATCATGGTAGCAAGGATCCGCTGTCTTGGGGGTAAGAACCCCGCTTCGATTATGTCCCCCGGTTTGTCTTTGTGGGCGTTCCTTCCACATGAGCGAGTATAGTTTTACGCCGCTTTTAGCAATATTCCATCAATATTACGCCGGGGATACCAGAACATGGCTTCACACAATGTACCCATGTGGGGAATCGAACCCAGGAATTCGGCGTCACGAACGAACGATTTAACCACTCGGCTACCCCGCCACCCAATCCCAGATAACCGAACACGCGGTGAAATAACTTGGATACTATTCAAGGCGGCGTTGAGCCCAACTCACTCACTCGCCAGTAGTACTCACACAAGAATATTACAGCTGTTGTCCTCAATGCCCTTCTCGCCCAGCTTCTCAATGTAGCCGACGTGAAACTCAACGTTAGGTTTACTGAAGCCGAACTTTTCAGTGTGGTAGCCCACGTGCTTGCTGGCAACTTCGATCTGTGGACAAACACTACAGCAATAAAACTGTCGAGATGAATTACAATCTGCTGTTTCAAGACAGCCCCCTCTCAAGCTGAAAGGGAAGCCTGGCAACGCAACTCAATATCAGGTTCACGACGACAACAGCTCCAACTGAAATCTGTGTAAACCAGACACCGGTTATAACAACATTTCAGAAGTAACGAATGTTGTATTTGGGATAACACTTTCTTAGTAAAGTACAGATTCTCGTACTTTTTTGGGTTGAGTCCCGTCCGGGATTCGAACCCAAACTTGCCAGAGTGTTGTTACATTTGACCACTTTCTAAATGGCATTGTGTATTCGTAGCGTTCGGCCATGGGAGCCGTGCCAATTTACACTTGTCAGAGGGATTCTCAAAGTACGTGATCTAGACTACCAGTTGTCGGACTTTCATTTTGTGGAAGCCTCGGTGGTTGAGTGGGTTAGATCGCTGCCTTTATGTGCTGGAGAATAGGTGCCTCACTCTGGCAAGTGTGGGTTCGAATCCCGGATTTTTATCAAGAATTTACGATTATTGTTGTATTTATAAAATTTCAGGACCCCAGTATAATATGGCCGTTCCCTTACGTTAATTATATTTCTAATTATAACATTTAATGAGAAACCTAAGGAACAAAAAAACAACGTATATATATCCTTGTTCATGGAGGTAGATTTCCTGTAATCCGGTCTGTATGATAAAATACCCGTTTATTAAACCATTTGTTCTCCGTGCAGTTTTGAGCTGCGTTTGCGTACCTGTCCTTGGAGTTTTGTTGTTGTTATTTCTCAAGATTTTCTTACATTTCATGACAAAAGGACAAGAAAATGAATGATGATTACAAAATGGAATTCACTTGTATGGAGGATGAATGTTTTTGGTAAAGGACGGTAGCAGATTGATTCTGTACATATATGTGAGGTGAACCCGGCATTGATCAAGGGGAGACAAGTATTGATGAGAACAGTCAAACCTAAGCTATTTTAGTTCACATTACCTCAAACCAAAGCTTTATCAGAAATAATTAGTTTCATTTACGCCAAACCAAAGCTATATTAGTTCACATTACCTCAAACCAAAGCTTTATCAGAAATAATTAGTTTCATTTACGCCAAACCAAAGCTATATTAGTTCACATTACCTCAAACCAAAGCTTTATCAGAAATAATTAGTTTCATTTACGCCAAACCAAAGCTATATTAGTTCACATTACCTCAAACCAAAGATTTATCAGAAATAATTAGTTTCATTTACGCCAAACCAAAGTTATATTAGTTCACATTACCTCAAACCAAAGCTTTATTACAAATAATCAGTTTAATTCACGCCAAACCAAAACTATACGATAAATAATTAGTTGTATTTACGTCAAAACAAAGTATTAGGAGAAATAATTAATTCAATTTTCGTCAAACCAAAGCTTTAGTTGGTCACTTTAAGTCAACCCAAAGAATTACTTGTTTAATTTAAGTCAAACGAAAGCTATACTAGCTCAAATAAACAAAAATATACCGCAGTCGATAAAGATCAAATCTATCATTTATATATGATCTGACGTCAATATGTCTCACGAAGCCATTGTAATTTCGCAAAGGTGTTGCCTACCAGAGTCTCCGTCATGTCCACCCCGACGATACTGCCTTCTGGGCCGATGAGTTTGCTGACGATGTAGGTGTCCCTTCCTGCACCACAGCCGAGGTCCACCACCCTCTGGCCCTCCAACTTCTCGGGGACGACCATGCCACACCCATAATACCTGGAACGAGAAGTGTAACATGGCATCACGTGCAGTGATGACGAGCGGTCTAAGGTCTGCTGTGCAGGGTTGCGTCCCTTGGGTATGCCATGGCCAGGTTCCGTTGGTCTTGAGTTCAAATTCTAGTTACGCCCTGATGTTGATTCTCGGTTTGTCAGCTCCATACCTGTCTTCCTTTAAAGTGGTAAATGTCTAAGGCCTGCATCAGCTTGGGCTTTCCTCTTAAGTCAACCGACTAGCCGTGAAGAAAATACTTTTCAAAGCGACGTTGAACCAATCAAATCACTCATTGACTCAGTTTTGTGTTTTAAATCATTTAATTGAAAGTATCGGAGTTAATCGGCACTTACGTACACAAAACATTGATTGTTTTACATTCATGTTGGAATTTCGGAGTGAGTCCTTAACGAAGTGACCGCTTCCGTGGTCGAGTGGGAGAGCTAACACCCGGAGAGCGGATGTTCCGGGGTTTGATCCCCGGCCGCGTCATACCGAAAGACGATAAACGATGATACTTGTTGTAACCCTGCCTGACGCTCGACATTAAGGGGCTAAAACAAGGACTGGTCGGCTCGGAGTCAGTAAACTGTGTCTGAGTGGGGTAGACATGTTAAACTGCGGCTTGGAATCTCAGTCAGCTGGCACTATAAATCGGCATCAGTCCGGACTAGTACAAGCAGCCACACACACACACACACACACACACACACACACACACACACACACACACACACACACACGTGCATGTCCGTCGCTATATAAGTGCAATAATCGTGGACGCGACGTTAAACAAACCCCGTTTCACCTCATAGGTCTTCAGCAGTTCCCGTTTGTCGTAAGAGGCGACTGAAGGGATCGGGTGGTCAGGCTTGCTTACTTGGTTGATGCATGTCATGGTATCCCAATTGTGTAGATCGATGATCATGATGTCAATCAGTAGATTGTCTGGTCCAGGCTCAATCATTCACAGAGCGCCGTCATGTAGCTGGAATATTGCTATTCAGCGTTAAACACCAAACAAACAACATATACTAAAGGATCATGAATATTTTGGGGGACATTATTTTCGTGAAGACTGATCAAACAATTTCGTAAAAATATCCCCAAAAATATTCATGATCCCTAGCTGTTTTGTTCAGTACAAAATAACTGAAATAAGTTAAATTTTAAAATTATTTACAATAAACCATTTTGATGCGCTCAAACAGAAAAAGAACCCCAGAGGTGTTTTACCTGCGCATGATACCAAGGTGTTTTACCTTCTCATAATACCAAGGTGTTTTGCATGGCCATAATACCAAGGTGTTTTACATGGCCATAATACCAAGGTCTTTTACATGGCCATAATACCAAGGTCTTTTACATGGCCATAATACCAAGGTGTTTTACATGCCCATAATACCAAGGTCTTTTACATGGTCATAATACCAAGGTGTTTTACATGCCCATAATACCAAGGTGTTTTACATGGCCATAATACCAAGGTGTTTTACATGCCCATAATACCAAGATCTTTTACATGCCCATAATACCAAAGTCTTTTACATGCCCATAATACCAAGGTCTTGTACATGCCCATAATACCAAGGTCTTTTACATGCCCATAATACCAAGGTCTTTTACATGGTCATAATACCAAGGTGTTTTACATGCCCATAATACCAAGGTGTTTTACATGGCCATAATACCAAGGTGTTTTACATGCCCATAATACCAAGATCTTTTACATGCCCATAATACCAAAGTCTTTTACATGCCCATAATACCAAGGTCTTTTACATGCCCATAATACCAAGGTCTTTTACATGCCCATAATACCAAGGTGTTTTACATGCCCATAATACCAAGGTGTTTTACTTATCCATAATATTAAGATGTTTCCTTGACATGATATCGTGGTGTTTTACTTGTCCATAATACCAAGATATTTTACATGTCATGATATCCCTGTGTTTTTCTGGTCCCTAATATCCTGGTGTCGTATATGCCCATGCTATTCTGGAGTCTAATGTGTCCACGATATCCTGGTATGTTATGTCCAGGTGTTGAATATGTCCATTACAGTCTAATCCCCACATGTCCTCGGTATACTGTTATCGTTTCGGGTCTCTATGCCAGATCAGGATACTCATTGACTCTCTGACATGGCTATGCTGCCTGTCACCGTTGCTTTACCTTACCTATCTGTGTTCATCTCACCTGTCCAAGACGTCCTTGTGTATGACAGAGATCGCCTCTTTGATATCCTGTGCTCTTCCGGACGTGATTGTCTTAAAGCCACACGACTCCCTTGACCAGTCGCTGTAGGCCTTCTTCACGGTGTCTTCTGGGTTCGAACTCATCGCAGCGGCACAACAATGGACTGGGAATCCCCGAGAAAATAGAGAATTTTGCGTAAAATGAGTAAAACATTTCGTAAAACTAATTTTCTATATTTTCATAACAATTGTTATATTCGGTAAACGTGCAGTAGGTTAGTCGCTGGTGGGCTGAGGAGGTTCTGATAACTGTCATCTTACTCGGAATACTTCCTTTTAGAAGAAAAACAGTTAAAGTTAACACTGAAATATTCAGATGGAGACTAAGAAAGTCTATGTCGAAATGCCGCATGGTATGGCCCGGGGCTATATTAAAATAACTGGTGATATGTCGATATAGCTGTTGTTATTTATTAACATTATTACATGGTGGTCCAACATGTGACACTTTTTCCAATAGCAATCAGCATAATATAAAATATATGGTTCCACTTGCTTACCTATAACCACACAGTGCATCGTCTATACGTTCGTCATGTTTTTATTCGCACTCATATAGTGGAACAATTAGGCATTAAGTACTTTCTATAATTTTTGGCATTTTCATAGAAACGAGAATAAACCTAGCTGATAAGAGAATTGTCTCGTTTCATGAGCCTGGTGAAAACTGCCAGATATCCCAATGTGGCTTTCAACATATATCAACTATGTATAGTGTAGTAAGGGGTGTGTGCTGGGAGGTGGTGATGGGTTTGAATGTGAAGCTGGTGTATTGTGGTCTCTCTGCTAAAAGTCGAGGTCGGATAATGGCCCTTGTCTTACCCCCATGTCGAGATCTGATTGGTTCACAAGATCTTGATAAAATACTACATGTCCTACATGGACACAGCACAAGATAACCTCAGCTCAATCGAACAGTTATTTTCTATCAATTTTCAATTTGTTTTAATTCTTTTACAATTGCAGATTGTAACATGTCGGAAAGGTAAATTCTTTGTAGCAGTATCACGAGGAGTACAACTGGTTTTATGCGTCCCGCGATTTGTTTTATACACGAATCAACTTATATTGTTGACCCACAAGAAATGTCAGATTTTAAAGTTGTGGGTAACTTTGAAATATTGGTACAAGATTATCAGACGTTTTCAAATGGGAGACAACAAGCGTTTTCTTTAATACACTTGTAGGTTTTGGTCAAAAACAATATTAGAATTTTTCGAATTTCAGAAGAAAATTCTTTGAGCAAGTCTGTGAATACAGGTGACAATACCATTTCGGTCTTCCATAATCTTATACATTTGTACGTATCCTGTCCACTCCGTGGCACCAGTCACAAACACATACAAAGGCAAATCAGTTATTCACCTAAAAAAACAAGGGAACATATGGTACAAGACAAAACAGGGAAATGCATGACATCATCATGTACTTCCTGCTGAAAGCTATGAACACACAATACCAGGTTACAGTTGACCACTTTCTGAATGGCATTGTGTATTCATGATAGCTTTCGGCCATGGGAGCCGTGCCAATTGACACTTAGCAAATCGATTATGTCACCTTAAAAACACATGGTACAAGGCAAAATAGGGATATGCATCAGACATAATTTTTGTCACTGATACGTCAAAGTTGGGCATATTCTCCACACGCGTTCCAAAAGACTTGTTAACTGAGGTCTTCATGACGCTGTTTGAAATCTTTGCAGAAAGAGCATGCTCGATTGCCAAATGTAGACACTAAAGGCTGGAGGTGCTGGAATATTGCTCGACATAGAAAGAAACTCAACATAGTGTCTCCCGAGACCACATATATCAAGAGTCGGCGAAAGATACACAAACCAGAGGCTTGATATACTTAAGCTTGAAAGACCCGGGGTGAGATTCTATTTTTCATCCAACATATTTGTAAACGCTGAGTGTCTTGGGTATAAACAGTACAGCTACAACCTCAGTGGCAGAGTGATGAGTGATATAATTTGATTGGGACGTCATGGTAACGGCGACGTCGCAATGGCCTTCAAAGCATTGTGATGCAGTTTCTGAAGTAAATATCGCTTCATCTCACCAAAGTGATATCTCCCGTGGAAGCCAGTTTGGGATATTAAGAGAGAAACGTTGGCTATTGGGACGTTGCAGTCATCTCTCGTGACGTAATTGAACAGTGGGTTTAAAAGAGGTCACGTGGTACATGAGTGAATGAGTATGGTTTTACGCCGCTTTTAGCAATATTCCAGCAATATCACGACGGGGACACCAGAACCTGGCTTCACACATTGTACCCACGTCGGGAATCGAACCCGGGCCTTCGGCGTGACGAGCGAACGCTTTAACCACTAGGCTACCCGACCGCCCCCGTGGTACTTAAGACTCAAGCTGTCGTTTATAACTTTGAAACCTCCTAAGGAAATAAAATAAAACAATCCTCCCTCCCTACAGAGACAGTTTTACAAAAGACCATAAAAAAACAAAGATATTTTAGAGGGTAGGACGGGTGACGAATATGATTGTTTTGTAACTTCTAAATTACTTATCGATCTGTAGTTACTGACGTTCGATAACTGTTGCGCTGATAAATATGCCAACGGAACGCATCGTGTTTTCGAATTTAGTCCACAACACCTTACGCCACTTGAAAATAGTTTTCTGCAGGGAAATAGGTCACAGGTCACGATGTCCGGACAAGAAACAAAGGGGGCACGTTGCATCATTCCACCTTGATGACGGTGTAAGAATCTACATCGAAACGTCAGTAAATGCAAAAAAACAAGAAGTTGTTATCCATAAAGTATATATCTTCTTATTTACTCACCAACCTTTAGAATGCCAGTCAAACAGTTGGCATCAGAGCCAAGATGGGTCCTCTTATGGTAAGCGTAGCTTTTGTAGAATGTGCTTTCACAGATGTCCGACAGTCAACATCTGTTGAAGTTATAATAATAGACTGAAGTCCCTGCTCCAGAGACTGCAATGGGCAGATGTCAGCGTGCAGATGACCTACATTCATAGGCCTGACCGTCCCTGTCACAGTCTGTTTACACAAGGGCGTCGGGGTGAGATGAGGCACGGTGGGGAAGAGGCTGGGGTGGTGGCGGGGTCACCGGTTGGGGTATCAGGGGTCAAGGTAAACAGATGTTGTGAAACGTTATTTAGATTGAGTGAGTATGTAGTGATATGGTTCGTGCTGCTTTTAGCAATATTCCAGCAATATCACGGCGGGGGACACCAGAATACAACGTACCCATGTGGGGAATCGAACCCGGGTCTTTGGCGTGACGGGCGAACGCCTTTACCACTAGATTATCCCACTGCCCGGCTATTCTTCCCCATTTTCATGGAAAGTATAATGGAAAGGTTAATTTAATTGTATAGCATGTATGGTTGGTTTCTTTGAAATTTCAAGCCACGTAGTTACCGAAACGAAGCATACAAATCATGCGCGTGAACTGTTGATGCTATTTTCTTCCAACAATAAGAGATTCTTCAAAATCGTCTTTATGTAGTTAAGTGATGCACCTGACAGTTTCTGGTCATTAGCTGACATTATTAAACCATTCATGTGTAATCCGATGTCCTTTTTTCCTCAAGGACGAATTTTCTGATTTGTACTGTGTATCCAAAAGAAAAACTGTATTCCTGACATCGTAAATAACAGCATAATATAAAATATGTCTCAAATTATATGTAATACGTCTGAATTCCACATTCTACATACCACACTTTTGATTGTTTGGATGCTCATTTTCACTGGAAATGGGGCGGTCGGATAGCCTATTGGTTAAAGCGTTAGCTCGTCACGCCGAAGACCCGGGTTCGATTCCCGACATGGGTACAATGTGTGAAGCCCATTTCTGGTGTCCCCCGCCGTGATATTGCTGGAATATTGCTAAAAGCGGCGTAAAACCGAACTCACCCACCCACTCACTGGTAATATATTGAGTTTTAAAAATGAAATGAGAGTAACTTAATCTGGCCATGTTTTAACCAATCGCCTGTCTCATTCTGTGATTTAATCATGTTTCGTAATGAAGATAATCCATGCAATTTGTTCATAATTTTAAAAAAGGTTAAATGTTTAGGGGAAATATATCTCCTTTCGCTAAAGTTAACCCGTTTATGTTTTGTAACAATAAACTATTGTGCATTGAGCGACTATCTCCTTTAGCTATAGGCTTAGTATAGAACTTTATCACGCACTGACCTTGCAATGCTGAACATCGTATCTTATTCAAGCTGTATCACTGCGAGTGAGTGATTATCTCTATTGCGAGCAACCTTTGCAATCTATTCATGTTATTCAGGCAGCCAGCGAGAAAGGTTTCAGCGAGGAATGCAGGTCAAACGCGCACTCAATCTTTCTCCCTTCACACTGCCAATCAAATTAATTGTTCAACACGATTTGTTAAATAAACAAAACATGAAAGACAACGTGGTTGATGTGAGAAATTTGTAATTAGTTGTCTTCATAATCACATGTATGGTGCTTGCTGTGCACAGTTAGGCAACGTATTGTTTCAAGTAGTTCACTGTGTGATAAGATAAGATAAGATAAGATAAGATAAGATAATATTTATTGCAGAAATATTCCATAACGGGACAGATGCAATATTTCCTCCCACGTCAATGTAATGATGCTCTGCAGCAATCTCTACTTGTTTAGAGTGAGTAAGTTGGATTTAACGCCGCTTTTAACAGTATTCCAGTTATATCACGGCGTGTCAGCTTAATGTGGGAGGAAAGCCCGAAGTGATGCAGGTCTCAGACGTTTACCGCTTCGGCGAAACCCACGTGCACAGGTATGGTGCTGACAAACCTAGAAACATAATCGGGGCGAACCGGGATTCGAACCCACAATCATAGGTTTCTGGCGTGCCCAAGGGAGCAACTCTGCATAGCGAATCGCGGCGCCTAAGACGTTTGGGCCACCCGTGCCCCCTACTTGTTTAGAAACACATTAGTTAGGCATATACGCGATGTCAGGTCTGAAGGGGTGCATACAAATATGTACCCATCCGAAAGTTGTTTTCTTTAAAAAAATGTTCTTTTCCACATATTGGTTCACATTGGAAACATCTCTTCTTAACGTACATATTTTTATATGTGTCTAATGATCGCGTTTCATTTGGCGGTGAGTATATGTGATCATTAAGAATCGTGAAGAATGCATATCGTCATTCCGACATAACAAAGTCAATGGATAACAACATGATATTGTTTGAATTGTAGTTGTTAACAAGCGATTACTGCTAAACCTATTACGTATTGGACTCAAACAGAAATAGAGTTATCGTTCTTGTTTGAAGTTGTTTTCCTGTTCTAAATGCCTGTATGACATTCTCCAAGAAGGGCATGAGTAGACCATGAAACACATGAGTTGATGACGAATTAAATTACATATTTGTATAAAACATTTTCCGTTAGGTAGATGTTTGTGAGCGGATGTATACACACATACATGTTTGTGTACAGTCTTATCTGTGCTTGTAACAACAACGACCATAACGGCGACATCCGGATGTAACGCTGTGACATATATCATGAATATGCATGAGGGCGTCCATTTTTAGATACGGACTCCTGTGCATATATTGACATGTATCCTCCCGAAATAAATGCAACTTTTCCGATTACCACAGTATAACGTCTTTAAAACAACAGTTTAGTATGTTTGGCCGTGGAAAAGGCATCTCGTATGAAATAATGCTGCACGAATTTCATTAGCCCTGGGGACATGTAGATATATCTAAGGCTTCAAGCGGACGTCTGGTGACATATATGCGCAAACAGCATCTAGATCATGTCATTCGTGTCTGGGTCAAGCGTTAAGTTGTTTACAGGACAATAAGTAGGAACACATTCGCAGAGGAACCGTTACCTCGAAATATTGTCCAAGATATACAAGCCTACCTTTTTCCGGCTGTGCGGTTGTGGGACAAAGTTTTGAGTCAAAGTCTTGCAGCGACCAGGGCAGGGGAATGTGGACTTGATAGACTTACCACAAGGCGTTTAATCAATTCTTGACTAAATTAATGCACGAATTGTATATTTATTGTCATAAATGTTAACTGTTTGGCTCTTATGATATGTGGGGACATATCTGTGAACATATTATGACAGATCTACGTTCCTTTATTATTATTTATTTATATTTCTCAGAAACATGATTTACGCTATAATCATCTTTAAGTTTATGTCCGACTGTATACATGTAGGTATACTTACCTCAGAATGTGATGTGCCTGAATCAAAACCGATAAATGCGTCATATGAGCAATAAATGCTTATATAACGCTATCGCCCTTCCCTCGGAATAGTCCCGAAGCCTGGACGCGAGTCTACAGTGATTGTGCAAATCTAAGGTTATCACTATGTGATTTCACTGAGCTTTGACCTACAAACGCCGGCTGTTGCCACGCCGTGTTACACTGGGAAGGGGGATATGGTCAGGGGGATGGGGGGAGGGAGGGGGGGGGGGGGGGGGGGATGCGGGGTAATATACAGGGGTAAGAGTCTCATCGCATCAGTGCATAACACAGTACAGTACGTCTATTCACATGAGCGAGCTACACAACTAGGTACTTGTGACACCCATTAAATTTGAGAATAACAAAGCTCTGACCTCACGCTTCTGAATTACTGTTATTAATAAAACAATTTCTTTAGACGTCTTCTAAGCCCAAAACTTGAATCATTTTATCTATCTATTTTAGTGCAACAGATGTGACTTACTGCCAAGTATTTGAATAAGTTTTCCATCTTTTCCTAATCTATTAAAGTTTGAGGTGTATTGTTTCTGATCTATTTAGATTATATTGCAGGCATTCTAATGCAATTGATATTCATCTTCTACCGTACCCTGATCATTGAACATAATTTTAAAAGTATATCTGATGCTTTAGTATCTACCAGTTCAATTTGACCGCCTCCGTGGTCTAGTGGTAGAGCGTCCGCCCGAAGAGCGGAAGGTCCGGGGTTCGATCCCCGGCCGCGTCATACCAAAAGACGTTAAAAGATGGTACTTGTTGTTACTCCGTCTGGCGCTCGGCATTAAGGGGCTAAAGCAAGACTGGTCGGCTCGGAGTCGGTATACTGTGTCTGAGTGGGGTATTCATGTTAAACTGCGGTATGGTATCTCAGTGAGCTAGCACTATAAATCGGCATCAGTCCGGTCTAGTACAAGCAGCCACACACACACACACGTGCATGCACGTCGCTATGTAAGTGCAATAATCTTGGACGCGACGTTAAACCCAATTTCACCTCACCTCACCTCACCTCACCAGTTCAATTTTATGAACACAGAGGTGAGGTAAGGTGAAATGGGATTTAACGTCGCGTCCAAGATTATTGCACTTATATAGCGACGTGCATGTACGTGTGTGTGTGTGAGAGAGTGTGCGCGTGTGTGTGTGTGCGTGCGTGCGTGCGTGCGTACGTGCGTACGTGCGTGCGTGCGTACGTGCGTACCAGTCCGGACCGATGACGATTCATAGTGCTGGCCCACTGAGATACCATGTCGCAGTTTAACATAAATACCCCACACAGACACAGTATACCGACTCCGAGCCGACCAGTTCTTCGCTTTAGGCCCTTAATGCAGAGCACCAGACAGGGTAACAACAAGTACCATCTTTAACGTCTTTTGGTATGACGCGGCCGGGAATAAAACCCCTGACCTTCCGCTCTCCAGGCGGACGCTCTACCACTAGACCACGGAGGCGGTCAAATAAGCATTGAGACGTAGTATAACCGACGAGTATAAAATGGTCGATCCCCAATGTTTATTAGATAAACCTTTACTGAGAAAACCTAAGAAATAAAAAACCGTAAGTGGATAAAGATTAAATCTATTAATTATTTATGTCGACATGGTCAGACGTCAAGATGTCTTACGAAGCCAATTTAATTTGTGTTGCCTGCCAGATCTTCCGCCATGTCCAAACCGAAAACAAACTTGTTTTTCTTGGTTTTTTATTTGAGAGTTTACCACATATCTATATTCTGCTATCTACCCGGGGTATATTTGCACACTGCGATTCCATCGTTTCTACGCTCCTCTTGTATGACTGCCTCATTATGTTTGTTTGTTTGTTTGTTGTTTAACGCCGCAATCAGCAATATTCCAGCCATATGGCGACGGTCTGTAAATAATTGAGTCTGGACCAGGCAATCCAGTAATTGACATCATGTGCGAATGCCTCTTTAACCCTATGTACTATTTTCTAATTGCACCACGTTTAACCGTCAGTCGTTTGACACATATGTCTATATACTTGTTTGACGTCTCGAGCAAGCTATCATTGCTATACAATCACTTGGCTTTAATCAGTGTTATACCAATTATACCAAGGCGTTTCACTTGTCCATAATACCAAGATTTTTACATGCCCCATTATATAAAGGTGTTTAACGTGCCCGCAACACCAAGGCGTTTTTTTGTCCATAATACCAAGGTGTTTTACAAACCCCTAATACCAAGGTGTATTATATGTCCATAATAGCAAGGTGTTTTCCATGACCGTAATGCCAGGGTGGTCCACTTGTCCATGATACGAAGGTGTTTTACATGCCCGTAATACCAAGGTATTTCACATTCCCGCAACACCAAGGTGTTTTACCTGTCCATAATACAAAGGTGTTTTACATGCCCGCAACACCAAGGTGTTTTACTTGTCCATAATATCAAGGTGTTTTACATGCCCATAATATCAAGGTGGTCTACTTGTCCATGATACGAAGGCGTTTAACATGCCCGTTATACCAAGGTATTTCACATGCCCGCAACACCAAGGGGTTTATTCTTGTCCACAATAATAAGGTGTCTTACATGCCCGTTATACCAAGGTGTTTTACATGTCCGAAATTCCAAGGTGTTTTACTTGTCTATAATACGAAGGTGTTTTACATTCCCGTAATACGAAGGTGATTTATTTGTCCATAATAAGAAGGTGTTTTATATGTCTGTAATACCAAGGTGTTTTACATGCCCTCAACACAAAGGCGCTTTACTTGTTCATAATACCAAGGTGTTTTACTTGTCCATAATACCAAGGTGTTTTACTTGTCCATAATACTAAGGTGTTTTACATGCCGGTAATACCAATTAAAGTGTTTTACTTGTCCATAATACCATGGTGTTTTACATGCCCAAAATTCCAAGGCGTTTTATTTGTCCACAATACCAAGGTGTTTTGCATTCCCGTAATACCAAGGTGTTTTACATATAGACATATAGTGTATTAATGTCTCACTTTGTGCATACATACGATATAAAAGTATACAGACAGAAGTAAAACATGTTGAAGCCTCTCCTACAGGCTATGAGAGACAATCAGGTATATACACATAAAATAGGATACAAATAATAAATTAAAAGTGTATTCGCACATAACCAGCAGAGATGATAGAGACGAAGCGTATTATAAATTAAGTGAGTGAGTTGGGTTTAACGCTGCTTTTAACACTATTCCAGTTATATCGCTGCGTGTCAGCTTAATGTGGGAGGAAAGCCCGAAGTGATGCAGGTCTCAGACATTTACCACTTTGGTGAAACCCACGAGCACAGGTATGGAGCCACGAACCGGGATTCGAACCCACAATCATAGGTTTTTGGCGTGCACATCGAATCGCGGCGCCTTAGACGACTGGGCCACCCTTGCCCCTATAAATTAAGCGTAGACAGACACATAACAGATACAGCCATAATAAATACAATTTATATATGTACAAATTTAAACATATCATGCTCTTCTCTCGAGAAGAGGGGCGGTCGGGTAGCCTAGTGGTTAACGCGTTCGCTCGTCACGCCGAAGACCCGGGTTCGATTCCCGACATGGGTACAATGTATGAAGCCCATTTCTGGTGTCCCCCGCCGTGATATTGCTGGAATATTGCTAAAAGCGGCGTAAAACCATACTCACTCACTCACTCTCTCGAGAAGAATATCCTTGCAGGTTTTGGCTGATTAAAGTATCGGTGATGAGTGAGTGAGTGAGTGAGTGAGTATGGTTTTACGCCGCTTTTAGCAATATTCCAGCAATATCACGGCGGGGGACACCAGAAATTGGCTAAACACATTGTACCCATGTCGGAAATCGAACCCAAATCTTCGGCGTGACGAGCAAACGCTTTCACCACTAGGCTATCCGACCTCCCCAACAGTGATGAGTTGCTAAAAGTGTGATATTTTTTTATCATTAGATAAATATGCAAATATGCAAATATTTGATTGCAAAGTCGTAAAAAGGGCAGCAAAATTGGTATATGTAGGGCAGTTAAAAAGAACATGGATTTCGTTCTCGACATCATTTGGGCAGGCGAAACAGTACAGTAAACTACGGATATAACGAACTCAAAGGGACTACTAATTTAAGTTCGTTATAACCGTAGTTCGTTATAAGCGTATATACAGCATAACTGCAGCAAACAGTCGGGCCCAAAAAAAGTAAGTTCGTTATATCCGTCAGTTCGTTATAAGCGTGTTCGTTATTACCGTAGTTTACTGTATCTCTTACTGGGTGGTTCATATCTTACTGTCTCTAGCCGCATTGGAGCTACACCACAACGAAACTGAGCTAGTGCACGTCAGTTGCTAATGCACATACTTTTCAAAACATTGTCCTTAGCGACTCGTTCCCATCTCGTTGCAATTTTTGCGACTGGGTTCCGTCTAAGCGGTTATAGCTAAAAGAGTTGTCAACTTGTAGCGTATTGTTTCACGTATATTTTCAGATGCTATTGAAAACACATCGGAACTTACAATAATATACAGTATGATTGCACACATTTAACTAAATCTTGGGTAATTTTTAAATGCAAGACATGTAAAATCAAAACTTATTCCTGAGGGATTTCTTGACCGAAGTACTTGAAGTAATAGGCGCATGCAGATTGTTTTTGTTTTGTATTTTCGCACATGACATTCATCGACAGGAGGACGAATCTTCTTGGAGGTGACGGAAAGGGACGAGTGGTGATGAATGTCTTCTTGCCGGTGACGGAAAGGGACGAGTGGTGACGAATGTGCCCTCAGCATGATAAAACTTCTTAAAAGTTCTGGAGGTTCGTAATTGGTTGTGACCTTGTTGCTTGTTCCCTTTTGTAGACTTAGAGACCATGACTTTATAAAAAAGCCCCATTTAAATGCTTTCTTCAACCATACGTACAGCAGTTGTCTTCCGTCGTTGACGGTGGTGTCAGAGAGATGTTCTATATTTAACTCATTGAACTTACTATGAACTCGTAGATTCCAGTTGAATTTCCTCTTACTTGCGTGTGATTCACATAATACCAAGGTGTTTTACATGCCCATAATACCAAGGTGTTTTACAGGCCAATGATATCAAGGTGTTTTCTTGAC